CTGCATGCCGCTGCAACCCTCCTTTGGCGCACACCTCTCACGTTTCGTGGTCCCACAGGGAGCTCCACTTAAGCCCCCAGTGGTTGCGCCCGCATGCCGCCGCCACCCCACTTTTTCGCAGCCCTCAGCACGTTTCGTGGCACCATGGGGAGCTCAGGTAAGGCCACATGGTTGCGCCCGCATGCCGCCGCCACCGTACTTTGGCGCACCCCTCACCACATGTCGTAGCCCCACAGGGAGCTCCGCCTACGGCCCTGGTGGTTGCGCCCGTATGCCGCCGCCACCGAATTTTGGCGCGCGCCTCTCACGTTTCGTAGCTCCACCTAGGGTCCCAATGATTGCGCCCGCATGCCGCCGCCACAGCACTTTGGCGCACCCCTCGCACGTTTCGTGGCCCCATAGGGACCTCCGCCTAAGGCCCCAGTGGTTGCGCCCGCATGCCTTGTCCAGACCACTTCGGCACACCCCTCACATGTTTCGTGGCCCCATAAGGAGCTCCACCGCACCCGCATGCGTGACCGCGCCGACGTCCTCGCACTCCTCACACGTGGCCCCATGGGAGCTCCACCTAAGGTCCCACTGGCAGGAATCGCATGCGTGGCCTTGCGCATTTCGGCACACCCCTCGCTCGTTTCGTGGCCAGATGGAGAATTCCGCCGAAGGCGCTAGCGGCGGGAGTCGCACGTGTGACTATTTTGGCACACCCCTCGCAAGTTTCGCGGCCCCCTAGGGAGCTCCACCGAATGCCCCATCGGCAGGAATCGCATGCGTGACCGCACCCATTATGGCACACCCCTCGCGCGCTTCGTGGGCTTATCGGAGATCGACCAAAAGACCCGTCATCTGTTGCTTCCCAGACCGCGCCCTGCTGCTGCCCAGGGCCAGGCCGCCAGACGCTTAGATCAGCCGTGACGGGTTACATCCGGGTGTAACCCATTGCGGCTGACGCCTGCGATCCCATCAACAATGTCGCTCCATCCTTTTCACGCAAACCTTAGTCCTTTTGCTAGCCCTCTTCGTGAGTTTCCACTTCTCTTGTGGCACTCGCAGCTGCACGCGGTTGGGTCCCTCGCCAGGCCAATCAATTCTATAGCTGAACTGTCTTCGAGGCTACTGCCACCTCTGCTTTCCCCTTCCGGTTCCTCTGCTTCGCTGCACGTCTAGCTCCCACAAAGCGCCGCATTTGTTGATAGTATCACCCGCGCAGGGGACAACGATGAGTGAGGAGAGTCGCCCTCGGACTGACGCCAGAGCTGGTGCCGCCGACCCGCACCGGAGGCAGACCGCGGATCGTGGGGAGGCCAGGCCGAAGGCGGCCGCCCGGCCATGATGGGGAAGCAGGCTGCTCAACTGGGGTACGATCAAAATAGGGAGCCCACAGAGGACGTACGCACCCAGCGATGTACACGAACACGGCCCCTTGACCCGCAAGACCGGCCGCGTGACACGAATATTCGCGCAATGCGAAATCTGGGAAACAGCGTGGATCGGGGTTGGACAGACCCCCCTTTAGTAAAGCGTGGTTTAGTGAAAACGACCTGAAGCCCAAACCTGGCGGGAGCAAGCCTGGAAAATAACGGCCACGGCGCCCCCTCGGGAACCGAAAACAGACAATTCACTAATCGACGTGTCACTGTTGGGGGTTCTGTCCACATCCGTGTGGATTCATGCACGTGTGCGTCCTTCTTTCGCTCCTGGCAAAACGGGTCCTGCGCGAGGTGATGCAGTGACCTTACGCGGCGGCTTACGCGGGCAGCCAGCGCGGCACGCCACACGGAAGCCGAGGGCACTCACGCGGGACCTTGCGCGGGCAGCTTGCGCGCCGGTGTCGGCAAGGACGACCCCCTGTTTTTGTGTCGCCCACCTTGAAGGGGCCCCAGGACACACAAATAAATACACACAAATAAAAGGATCCCCCATATTTTCCCATATTTTCTGGGTTTCTGTCTTCCCTCCCACTTCCCATATTTTCCCATATTTTCTGGGAATCGACGAATGATTGTGTCTGTGTGTTTCTTCCCCTCCTGACAACTGGCGTCGATGCGGCGTGAGGCTCGGGAACGCTGGCGGTGCACGTATGGGGACGAACGAGTAGGCGCCGGCGGAACACGCTGCCGGTTCCAACAAGGCGCTGCAGGGATGCCTGGCCAGCAACCGTGGAGAGGAAATGGGCCCGGCCCAGACTGCCAACTTCTTCAATAAAAAACTTCAGCTGCCCGGGCGAGGCACTCGCGAGCCGGCGTGGTCGTGGGTGTCCAGCGCCGCCAGGCCCCACCAGTGCGAGCGCAAGACCTGCTGTGGCAACCCTGCCGTGACGTACCGCAGTACGGCTCCCGCAGCCTGGCCGCAAAGGCCCTTTTCTTCTGACGTGCCACGAGCTAAGCTCACGACTCTGCGGAGGCCCTGTTCCCATGGGCGGGCCGGCGCAGGTGGCCCCGGGGGTACTTGCGGTCGTGGTGGCGCAAGGTGCCCCCGAGCACTAGGAGGTCGCGGACGACTG